CCTACACTGGCTATAAACTCATCAGTCAAGGTGGGGTATTGCAAATTTGGCAGAAGGGTTCTCCCAAGTCTGAGGGTCACAACAAACGTGCCTGATAAGATAAAAATATTAAGTGAATTATCTCTGCCTCAAGCTCTGGATACAAGGGCTAACGCTTAGGTATTACCACTGTCCTCTGAGTAGTATTATGATACTGCCTTTTGAAAATGAGATGCAGCCATAAGAAACTGAATACTAGTATCTCCAGAGGACTTCTCACATTTGAACTATCAGTACCAACACTATTTGGTTGTTATTATGGTTGTTTACTATTTGGTTGAAGACAAGAGTCTTAATGTTTTTGCCAGAAGATCATTTCAATTCCAGCAAGAAAGTTTTCTCCTGAAACATTTTTTGCATTTTTAGGCATTTTATTTCTCAGAAAGCAGCTTGCATCTCTTCTGATGAGGTAATGAGTCTGCGGTGGTTGCAGTTGCCTGGATAGTATAGGCAAGCTTCTCGATTGCCTGTGGAAATGAAAGCCCCACTGAGAATAGAGGTTAAATCCTCATGACAACCATATGGGTGTGGGAAGTGAATTAGAAGTATTTGAAGAGCAGGGAAGAGATTTCACAAGCAGGGTTGTGAGCTGTGATGGTTGCATTTGGAGAGGAGTCACCGACTCTGAGACAATTAAAAAGACAACACTCAGGATTTCAGGGAAAAATTGCACGAAGAGAAAATATTGTGCTCCGATTCCTAATTCCACCAAAACTATCACTCCATTTCATTTCAAAAGCATCCTTTCATGACAGTCTGAGTGAAGTTCTGACCAAGTAACTGATTGCCAGGAATTGCTATTTCAGCACACAGTTAGACTGAAGCTGGTTTGTGCGTTGCAAGCATCATTAGTCACAAGCTTGTAAGAAGAGTATGTTGCCAAAATCCAGAAGAAAAAGCCAATTTGAGCTAGACAGCATGCCCCAATGTGGACAACAGATGTGCTCTTTCAACAGAGGTATTCCTCAGAAAGTTTTGAGTGCTATAATACACCTTTAGTAGTTTTACTAATCCCTCTTTAAAATGAAAGAAAAAACCTCATATGGTTGCAAAACAGGCTTGCCAGCCAGTTTTAAGCTACGTCCACTAC